AACTGAGAAGCTTCACATGGCAGAGGACACTGTTATTCAGACAGAGAGACAGCCAACAGAATAAATAAAAATGCAATAAAATGTCTACCAATTACACATCCAGCAGGTGGGTAATATCCAAAATGTATAAAGACCTCAAGAAACTAAATATCAAAGAAGAAAATAACCCAATTAAAAATGGTATACAGATCTAAACAGAGAATTCACAATTGAAATTCAAATGGCTGAAAAACAATAAAGAAATCTTCAACATCCTTAGCTATCAGGGAAATGCAAATCAGAAGTACTTTGAGATTTCATCTTACACCTGTGACAATGGCTAAGATTAACAAAACAAGAGACAGCTTATGCTGGTGAGGATGTGGAGTAAGAGGCAGACTCCTCCATTGCAGGTGGGAGTGAAACCCTGTACTGGCCTTATTAAATCAGTGTGGTGGTTCCTAGGGAAGATGGGGACCTATCTACATCAAGATCCAGCTATCCTACTCTAGGGCACATACCCAAAGATGATTCATTCTGCCATAGAGACACTGACTTGCTCAACCATGTGCATTGCTGTTCTATTCATAACAGCATGAAATTGGAATCAACACAGATGTCCCTCAACAGGTGAACAGATAAAGAAAAGTGGTACGTTTGCACAATGGAGTATTACTCAGCTGTTAGAAAATATTACATTCTGAAATTTGCAAGCAACTAGATGGAACTAGAGTAAATCATCCTGGGTGCAGTATCCAGCCCACATCCAGAAAGCCAGGTATTATATGTATTTGCTTATATGTAGAAACTAGCTGTATAGTCAATGATAAGCAAAATACTATCCAGTGATCCACAGAGGACAGGAATAGAGAAGGAGATGAGATGGAACAGAGAGATCTCATTAGGAAAGGACAATGTAATAGATCAGTATGGATGGAAGCAGAGAAGGAATTGGAGGTTAAAGAGATGAGGGTGATCAGGGGTGTTGGAGGAGGGAATACAGGGAGAGACAGACAAAAGTAAAGGGTATTTTAAGGGTAGTGTGGAAACCTAACACAGTAAAGACTTTCTAAAGTATGTATGTATATGATGGTATATGAAATTGTCAAATAATGGGGGAGACAGAGTATCAGCTGGCCATCTTTTGTCACCAAGTGAAGCTTCAAGTATCAAGACTAAGGTACATCTAATTCAGTTGTAATTGGCTTGTTAGACAAAATCATTCCATGATAATCCCCAAACAAGTTAGGCTGTTTCTAGCACTACAAATAACTCTCCACAAACTGACAGCAAGGTCTCACTGCTGAAGACAACACCTAAACAAGTTATTGAACACCGAGATCTCCAGCTGGTGCCCACATAGAGCCCTCACCCCAACATTCCAGTGTCTTCGGTACACAAAGGTACTCTTGTGTGGTACTTAAAGAGCCACAAACAATAAACCAGCCTCAAATCCTATGATCGACAATGGTTTCCTTCTTGCAAGTTCTGTTAGGACAATGGTGACACCTGGCTGAAGAAGTGACCAACCTATATGTTCTTTTCATTAAGGTCCATTCCAGGAGATGGAACCCATACTCAACACGGATTGGTGCCCCAGAACCAGAGACTCCATATCCCAAGGACCTAGGGTAAAACAAAAATCTTCCTGGTCTAAAGAAAAAAAAGGAGTGATTAAATGACTCCTAATGATATTTTGCTGTACTCAGAGACCAGTGCCTTTCTTTTATAACTCACTAATTAAATTAAATTTTTAGACTTTTTTTGTACTTTTTTCCAAGACAGTCTTTCTCTGTGTAGCCCTGTCTATCCAGGAACTCCTGCTGTAGAAGAGGCTGGCCCGGAACTCAGAAATGTACCTGCTTTTGCTTCCCAAATGCTGGATTAAAGGTGTTCTCAGTCACTCCCAGGACCCAATGTGGATGACATTAGCTGAAATGCCCAACATCAGAGAGATAAAACCTGAAGAGGCCACCTCCAGTAAATAGACATGGCATCCTGTTGAGGGATAGGGCCACCCATCCATCTCAAAAAATTTAACCCAGAATTGTTCCTATCTAAAAGAAATCTCAGGGCAAAAAATGGAGCAAAGTCTGAAGGAAAGGGCATCCAGAGACTGTACCACCTTGAGATCCATCCCATGTGCAGATACCAAACCCCGATACTATTGCTGATGCCAAGATGTGCTGGCAGGCAGGAACCACACATGGCTGCCCTCTGAGAGGCTCTGCTAGCACCTGACTGAGACTGATGAAGATACTTACAGCCAACCATAGGACCAAGCCTGGGACCCCTGTGGAAGAGTTAGAGGAAGAACTGAAGGAGCTGAAGGGGATTCCCCATAGGAAGAACAACAGTGTCAAATAACTAGATCCCTCAGAGCACCCAGAGACTAAGCCACCAGTCAAAGAGCATACATGGACTGGTCTATGGCCCCTGCTATATATGTAGCTGGCGACTGCCTTATCTGGCCTCAGTGGGAGGGGTTGTGCTTGATCCTTTGGAGGATTGATGCCCCAGAGAAGGGGTATGCTAAAGAGGAGAAGTGGGAGTGGGTAGGTGGGTTGGGGACCATACTTTTACAGGCATGGGAGAGGGGGATATGGGGTGGGGGCCTCATGGAGGAGGAACCAAGAAGCAGGACTTTTGAAATTTAAATAAATATAATAATTAATAATTTAAAAAATAATGTGATCAGTCACCACCTATGGGTTATTTTTTTGTACTTTTTATGTGGAGACAGACCACAACTAAATTTTCCAGTTTTGCTTGGAGTTACTCTATATCTCAGACAGATCTTACCTTGTGATCCCTTGCCTCTTAGCTCTCTGAGTAGCTAGGATTGAAAGCCTGTTTTGTATGATCTGGCTTTATTTTAATTTTTATGGCGTCCAGGGGTTTGTAAATACATTGGCAACTGTCTACCACTGCTATATCCCTAGCCTAACAACTGTTTCAGATGCTTAACACATGTCTCATGACTTAGCAATTCTGCTCTAGGTTGTAAATTCAAAATTTTAATATATATGATCACCTGACATCATGTGTGAAAATGTCCATACAACTTATTAAAATCCAAACCTGGGATGGTTGAATCTATAACTCTATAATCCAACCACTCCGAAAGGCAAGACAGTGAGATCATGTGTTCAGGCCCCTCCTGGGCTATATAAAAACAATGTCTCCAGAAAGAACAGCTAGTTACCAAGGACAACAGTTTTTCCTAGACTGGTAAGTGGATAAAGTATGTTGTGTCCACACTTGTTGGGCATTCCACAATAAAAGGAAAGAAAAAACATGTGAAGTGGCCTAACAAGTCACAAACCATTGTATTTATATTGGATTTGAGACAAGTCCCAGGATAGTAAGATAAAGTAATGTCATGTTTACTCTGAAGCAGGGTTTAAGATACTGAATGGCGATCAGGGCCTGATATGGATGTCTCCTCAGAGGCCTTCAAGAGTCTGACATATTCAGAGGCAGATGCTCACTACTAGCCATTGAACTGATCATGAGGTTATCAATGGAGGAGTTAGAAGTGAGGACTGAAGGAGCTGAAAGGGTTTGTGGCACCATGAGGAGAGCAACAATACCAAGCAACCACAGCTCCCAGGGTCCTAACCACCAGCCTGGGAGCACTTATGGAGGGATCCAGGGCTTCAGCTGAATATGTAAGAGTGGAGGGCCCTGCCGGGCACAGGTGGAAGATGAGATCCTTGACCTCATGAAGGCTGGACGCCCCAGGGGGTGGGAATTTTGATGGTGGGGAAGTGGGAGTGGGGAGGTAGGTGGAGGTTACATCCTCGGAGAAGAAGGAGGAGGGGTAAGGGGATGGGGGGGTTCCCGGGTGTGTGGGGGATGGGGTAAGGGGACAACATATGAAATGTAAATAAAATATCCAAAAAAAAAAAAGATACTGAATGGGAGGGAAAGAGCCTGAGGGAAGTATAAAACTTACTCATAGCTTGTCAACCTTACACCTAAAATAGAATAATTCAATTACATGTAAACAATCCACACTAGTCTGAGTGTATAGTTCATGTGTGGAACTATTGCCTAACAGGTACAAGTCCTAAGATCAATCCCTAGCACCATACAAACAATCCACACCCAAGCTATCACAAATGAGATAATTATTAAAAGTCTAGAGTGTATTCTAAGTGTCTTTTCCCAGTTTAGTGAGTCTATACAGAGCTGATGAGCAGAGGCATGCTGGCAGTAGGAACTTCAATCAGTACTGCGCATATAGAATGGAAACATCCTAAGTGGTCAGTCTTACTGAGAGGAAGGTCTTCCCTTCCCCCAGTTCAAGTCAGCAAGGACTTAATAGTATCCTTGCAATGGCCTTGTTTGCACATCCTACCAGGAGAGGGTCCTAGACGGACTCCTTGAGACTGATTTCCCAGAGAACTCTTTCTCACCACACAGCAAATCTGTGGGCATCGCAACCCGGAATTTCACAATCTATAAGACTGTACATTTGTTACTGTTGTTGTAAGTTACTGAAGTTATGATTTTTGTTTTGCTTCAGAGATGTAGGTCTCTTTATCTTGCCTCAGATTTATGGAATCCTCCTATCTTTGCCCACACATCTGAGAACACAGGTATTATAAGTCATATCTATAAGTAATGATCTTATAGGAACAGACGTCTGAAGGGAAAAAGACTTAGGGAAGGCAGACTTTCTAATAATTATAAATATGAGAAAATGTGAACTTGATGAAAGAGGATACAGAATTTGATGCAAACAATCTCCTATGGTCTACAGTCCCAGATGCATCCACTTCATTTGAACAGGGTCTGGTACTTGGAGAAGAAGAAACTGGGAATGGGTAGAAGATAGTGGAACAAAGGATGAAAGGAAGGAAGGAAGGAAGGAAGGGAAGAATAGATTGAGGGAGAGAGGGAGGAAAGACTAGCCTAGTCCATTGCAGGGTTTAAGAAGATGGGGGTACTTTGGGGCTCACACATCCACACTGTTATTAGAGCTTTTATTGACTACTGAAAGTTTGTTCAGAATGATAATGAATAATATACAGAGTTGTTTTCATGCATGTCTGAAAGAGCAAATGCTGAGGTTAGAAATGCTTATGTTCTTGTTGGAACAAATGATTATAGATCAATGGACTTTGTAACTTCAGAATTACCCCATCTCCTTTGAACCTCACACACCTTTCCTGACACAGGATGCTATAGCTCTGCATGCTTGTCCTGAGAACCCTTTAGCTCCTGGATCTTCTGGGGCAGAGTCTTGGTCCAGAACTGTAGCCTTCTGGCCTTCAGGGCTCGGCCCACAGCAGGCTGGGTGTTCAGCTGCAGATACTGCTCATCATGATCCAACACAGGCCAGTAGGGTAGATCATCGCTGTTGGGGTTCCTGTGAATATGCAAGCCAGCAAGGAAGTGTGACAGTCTCTTACCCAAAGCCTGATGCTCATATTTGGTGAAGGCAGTGGATGAGCAGACCAAAGGCCTCAGTGGACAGATCAACTGATGTACTGATATAGATACAAGTGTCTCCACCAGTGTCTACTGCATGTGCAGCAAGGGCAGATGGTAAGTTTTGTGTCTCTCTCTCAGAGGTACAATCTAAAGAAGAGTACCACAATAGTGTGACTCGCCCAACCAGTCTCTGGGATGAACAGTAACTAAAAGCTAGAAGGTAACTGCCTGAGTGTACCCTGAGCTGAAGACTATCATGTTATTAAGGACCCATGCATAGTAATGGGGCACACATTAGACCCGACTGTAACAAGGTTTAGAATGGGAAGTATTCTCACCCATTTCTTGCAAAGTTGGTCCAGTACTTCATCATCCTCCTTTTTAACAGCTCTTCTTCCTTAGTGACATCAACTGCAGACAGAAGGAGAACAAGAGCCCAAGTCCTAGCTTCCTCATGGAGGTGCCAACTCATGGTTTCCTACAGAAACCACATCCTGAGGGCAAACTCTAGGCCTGGTTTATACCCTCTTCCCTCCCACTCAGAATACAGGATTGATCAAAAGCACTACTTGATGTTTCTCACGTTCATTTATACAGCAGTGTGTTCTCATTCCATTTTGTGCAAGCCAAACTAGGAAGGGTTTATATTCTAACTCTAGGATATTTTAGGGGTAGAAGCCTGGGGATTTTTTTAAAGCCCAGATATGGGGAACACTTTTCCTGTCCTTTCCAAGACTCTCAATTTCCCAATTCGACAGAGAGCTCAATAATCCCTCAGGAATTCATCTGCTGCTCAATTTAGGAAAACATGAAATACTCACAATTCATGCCACACATATAGGAGCCAAAGATAAACAGAATTTCATCACCATGGTCTGCCTTCACATGGGATGGCCTGGCATGCTTCATGAAGCTGGGCAGATGCTGGAACTCATAGAAATACACAGGAGCGTGGGAACCTGGAAGGGAGGACACATGTTGACATGACTTCTCATATGGAACTTATCTGCCTAACCTTTGGTGACAAGAAACCTTGCTCTACTGTTATCTGGAATCACAGTTGAGTGGTGAGATCCAGACTGGACCACTGGAAAGGGAAACCTTTGTTAACCAGAGACCCTGATATTCCCAGCTGAGTAGATGACAAGACACTGAGGGTAACTAACATATTTCCCCTTCTAGCCCTGGATAGGATGCCATTCTTTAAATTACACATAACGATTTAGTCGGGGAAAGCTGCCTGCCATAAGAGACCTAACCAAGACATAGGCCTGGACACTGTAGAGCTCACCTGGGTCCCACAGATCTGAGCACTCCCTGTCCTTACTCTAGTCCCAGATGTACTCACTCTGGAAATGTGCCACTTGGAGAGCAGGGATCACAAACATGAAGTCCCCCATCATCTCTCTGAACTGTGTTTGGAGGATCTCTGGGTCCTGAGTGTTCCCCATGTACTCTTCCATTAACAGGTCACTACATTCCGGAGGCAACATCTATACCAGGAGAAATCAGGAAGAATGATGACATGAGGCAGCTGCCTTTAAGTAAGGAATGTGGCCAGCAATAAAACGGGGTATAGGGGGAAAAGTAGAGGCTTTTCATTGATACCCCACAGAAGCACACACACACATAAACACATGTAAACACACATAAACACATAAACACACACACACATACACACACACACACATACACACACACAGTCACTCATATGCTTTATTTTTGGGCATGTCATCTCGGAAAAACATACAGGAAACTTATCTATCAGGAGGATAGGAACCAAGGTCTCTCTCACCATGTGTGCTGCAGTGCTCTTCAGAACAGCTGGCAGGGTCTCTCTGGTTATCTTCTCTATGATATGATAAAGGCCCATAATCTGGGAGGCAGAGGATAGTCTTAAGTATTGGATGGTTTGGAACTACATCAAGGTATCTCTGAGTTCCGAGTACCTGCCATTTGAGTGTATGTTCTCAGGGGCTTAGAACTAGGTCTCACCATGGGGATTCCCCAGCCACACTCATCTGTGGTGATGCCAATGATGCTGGGGACAGGATGAAAATCCTTAGAGGCCATCAGCTCCAGAGGATGCTTGGGTAAGAACTTCCCATCCACCACTCCAGGGATCATCTTGAAGACCTACACAGCATTGATGGTTAGTGCTGAAGATCAATTATAAATATTCACTGCCCATGACTATCCATAGACATTCCCTATATCCTATCTCTTCCAGGGTTTTATTCACATTCTGGAAAAAACTTTACATGATAATTAGCTTGTCTTATTCTTTGTGCACACTGTACTGAAAGGACACCAAACCATGAAGACGAGTTAGCACATTTGAGTAGTAAATAATGGCAATTCCACATTCTGTTCATCAGGTCCTCCAAGACAAACAGTTTTCCCAACCTGGTTAATAGCCAGGATCTCTTGTTTACTCTTTGCTCGAAGGCAGTGTATCAGGGCTTCTGAGTCTGTGGCCTCACATCCAGATAGGTTGGCTACTCTCTGTAAATAGAACAGATAATTGTTAACTCATCCCTAATAGCAGGGATCAGAGTTTCTGTGATTCTCCTAGAAGTTATTACCCCTAAATACCACATCTTAGTTTTTGTTGTGTATGACTGAAGTTTTCACATTTTCTGTTGCTTAGAGGTGACAGCTGTGAAAGAACATTCTACCTGCATATTGTTTTGTTGTTACTTTGGTGTCTGTGTGTGT